TTTTTTTTTTTTTTTTTGCAGGAGTCTCTTCTGGATGGAGAAATGTCACCCGTAAACAGTCAAACAAAGAGATGCCGCCCATCTCCAGCCTCCTCTACTCCTCTTGGTACATGAGTGCCCCATATTAAATGAGTAACACTAAGTGTAGAATTTTTTGAATTTGCCAAAAAAACTCACCCTGAGGCAATACAAGATGTAAATGAGTCTGAGCCGTCAGAATGAGAATCCAAACAGCTGATTAAAACATCACAATAATCCACACAACTCCATTTGATCAATTAATGTCTTGTGAAGCGAAGAGCTGTTTGGACTCATTCTGACGGCACCCGTTCACTGCAGAAGATCCATTGGAGAGCAAGTGATGTTATGATAAATTCTGAAATCCGTTCCCATGCAGAATTTACACCTTGGATGGCCTGAGGGCAAGTACATTCCTTTAAACTAATACTGACAGTCTGTTTCTTCTAAGGTGCAGCACAGAGGAAATTAATGAAAAGCCCATCAGATATTCTGCCTCAATCCCAGCAGGTGAGTATGTTTGACTTAATGAGAGCTTTTGTGTATAACAATAAAAATGTGGTCACTCTTTCCTGTGACTAACTAATGACATTTATTTTCTAATGGTAGAGCACTCCATTACGGATTCTGCTGTCTGGAGAGGCTAAAGGCTGTCTGTCGAATGGAGACCATTCTATAAATGGCTCTGACCTTGATCTACACCATGAAGAGAAGCCACATGTAAGTTGTCGTGTGTGTTTTTTTTTTTTTTTCGTTTTTTTTTGGTGATTGTAGAGTTAAATGTATGCTACCAAATAGCAGCTTTCACATAAGCTTGTAATTTTAAATATGCTGTAATGGCAACTGTTGTGTTTGTAGAAACCAGGTGAGGGCTTCACCTCTCCTCCACTGTATCGCAGGGGATCCTCCATCTCGGTCCCATTAGAAAACCAGAGCACTGTACAGGTATGCACTGAACGGACAAATAATAAACTAGGAATGTCATTTATTTAGTTTTTTTTAATTTACATGCATAAATGGATGTTTGAAGGGGTTTTTTATATATATATATATTTTTTACACGTGAGGTTGGAATTTAAGCCATGCATGTATTTTTAATTCAAGTTTAAGGTTTATTTATTTATTTTGTGTGTTTTTGATATTCTAATTAATATGCTCATTTCTAATTTCAAAATTTAATATAGAAATTATCTATATTGACCACAATTTGTGTTATGGTGTTTATAGTCTTGACTTGATCTAGAACGTTTTGTGGCGATGAGCTTTTATATGTGGGAAGTGAAATTACTGGAGATGGCTTGTGGTGCCACGAAAATGACACTTTTTGTTATTCTGCGTTTTAAAATGTGTTTGGGATTGACTTTGTTTGTGTGTCAGGCAGGAAAGCAAATGTTATGCAATGGAGTATCAACTGTGTCTGCACAGACATTTTCCACCCCACCTAGTCACAGATCCATCAGTGCAGAAAACTCCTTCCACAACATTCACACTGTGAGAATGTGTTTTGTCCTCATATGCATCCAAAGTCCCTAACATCAGTTCCACTTATTTAAATAAAAATGCAGAACATATGATCTGAACTTCCCTCTCCTCATCAGGTGTTTAATGTGGCATCTTTGCCCATCAGTGAGAGCTCGGGGATGAAGCCAGATGAGAGTGGTTTCTCTGAGTCCATGCATCCGAGTTACACATCGGCCAAAACCCCGAATTACTCCACCGCCAGCACCCAGACACCTCCTGAGCTCAACCTACCTGAAGATGACCTACCGATTGGTAAAACATGCGCCCGCATGCAATTTTATTGAGAGTGCATATATTATATTATATTTTATATTTAGGTTTGAATTTATTTACATGAATATGAGGGAGTATATTATGCATAATTATAACGTTATGATGCCGAAATTCACTAGCATTTAAAACTGTTAATTTTAGCTTAGTGGTTTTATTTATTTTTTATTTTTTATATTGGTCATTTATTGGTAAAATATGTAAATTATCTGTATTGTCCAGAATTTTAATATTGACGCATCCCCAGTTTAATCAGCCCTATGTAACTTTTTCTGTTCAAAATTTGCGAAATGTATATAATGAGCGAGTACATGAATTCATCTTCCAAACTGCGTTTGTCTTATTCCAAATCACTACGGTACACTTTTATAATAAGTACTTTATATTTGGACCATTGTAGCCTGGTCGGGTCGTCCCCGCTGCGGCGTAACACATACCTGCGTGAATCGCCATAGCCATAAACTCATAAACCTCACACTCGTAATCAGTTTCTCATGTTTTTTCAAATAGTGATATGAAATTAAGAGTTATAAATTCTGGGAAGTTTCATAACATTCTGGTAAAAAGGCCTATTCTCTCTTATTCTTGTGTCCTTGCAGAAGGCCAGTACCAGCTGGAGTGTCCAGTCAGCGGAGGTGGTCACGTGTTTTCTGGCCCTCAGCCACAGTCTCGTCTGGGTCAGTCGTGCTACCCCCGTGGTACAGCGAGAGGTATGCGTGCAGGCAGGGGTTTGGGTCACTCATACAGATCACCTGGTGGCTACAGAGGTATCTTCCTCTTCTTCTTTCTCCTTCCCTTTCTGTTAATCTTTCACCTTTACATTTAAATAGTGTGCAGATCACGTTATAGTGGTGTGTTTCTTGTCACCTGAAACACAAACACCGTTTACTGTCGTCCTTGCACAAACTTTATTAATCTGTGCTATTGGAGCTTCGCATTTTACAGTTTGGAGAAGACCTGGATTAGTAGTGTAAAACGACTTTTTTTTTTTTTTTAATTTATTTAATTTATTTTTTTGGGCTGATTGACAGGTGGTTATGAGGCATACAGAGTGAATATGCGTTCTCCAGGAGGAGGCTTCATATCTCAGACCCACTCCACACACAGAGACCCTGGATCTGCCCTTTATTTGTCCAGAGTAAGTTTGATTTTACTTTATTTGTTTACTGATTAATGTCACGGTTTATAATCATATTTTTCTATGTATTAAAAAAAACTAATTTCTCAAGTATTTAGGCATTCTATTCTATTATGATATTATATTGAGTTAATGTTTTCATTGATCTATTCTTAAAAAAAAAAAACACATCTGACCAGCTTTTTCATTTAATGTAGATCAGATTTACTGTGTCATTTTATATGAACAAATAGGTTTTCTATTAATTTTAGTGTTGTATTATACGTATTTTGGGTGAGCGTTGTCATTGTCTATTTTAAATGAAAAGCTAGTCAGTAGGTAGTTTTTTTTTTTTTTTTTTTTTTTTTTTTTTTTTTTTTAAATAGGAAAATGGGTATCTCCAGAGCTTCAAACGCGGTGGAGGCACAGCAACTCAAAGGAGCAATGGTATGAGCCATCACTCATACATATACATTGACTGATATTTTATAGAACTATATATAATACTGATACTTATTTTTAAAAGAATGTTCTCGTTTGAAAATGGCTCTTAATAGATCAAAGTAGCATCCTTAACTCCTGTGGTCTGTCTTTGAATCTTCTCGCCTCTTTAGCCGGTTGGAGTGACTCCTCTCAGGTGAGCAGCATGATTAATTTGATCATAACATTTGAGGTCAGTAGTTTTTTTTTTTTTTTTTTTTTTTTTTTAAATAGGAAAATGGGTATCTCCAGAGCTTCAAACGCGGTGGAGGCACAGCAACTCAAAGGAGCAATGGTATGAGCCATCACTCATACATATACATTGACTGATATTTTATAGAACTATATATAATACTGATACTTATTTTTAAAAGAATGTTCTCGTTTGAAAATGGCTCTTAATAGATCAAAGTAGCATCCTTAACTCCTGTGGTCTGTCTTTTGAATCTTCTCGCCTCTTTAGGCGGTTGGAGTGACTCCTCTCAGGTGAGCAGCCCGGACCGGGAGGGTGCGTATCCCCTCGACTCGGGATTCAGTGACACACTCTCCATCCCGCCAATGGAAGTGCCCATCACGCCCCAGGGCCCGCACACTCTGATGCCCGTACATGTGTACCCGCTCACCCAACTCCGTGTGGCCTTCTCCGCCGCCCGCACGGCAAACTTCGCCCCCGGCACTCTGGATCAGCCAATCTCCTTCGACCTGCTGCACACCAACCTTGGCGAAATGTTTGATACGACCACCGGCCGTTTCACCTGTCCCGCTGCCGGTGCTTACGTCTTCATCTTCCACATCCTGAAGCTGGCCATCAGCGTACCCCTGTACATCAACCTCATGCGCAATGAAGAGGTGATGGTGTCTGCTTATGCCAATGATGGTGCTCCCGACCACGAGACCGGCAGCAATCATGCTGTCCTCCAGCTGTTCCAGGGCGACCAAGTGTGGCTGCGACTGCACCGTGGTGCCATCTATGGCAGTAGCTGGAAGTACAGCACCTTTTCTGGTTTCCTGCTGTACCAGGACTGAACATCCATCTCTAAATAGGCACAAAAAGGGAGAATGGGGCATTTTGGATGTTTTTTGAAAGTTACTCTGCACTTTATTGCGCTTTCGGTTACGCATGGTGCAATTGCATGTTAGAAAGATCATGTTCAATAGTATAAAGTCAGTGTTAAAGCTGATGTAAGCTGTTTGCTGGTGAAAGTTTACAAAGGTTTTTCTGGGTTCTTTATTATTATTATTATTATTATTATTATTATCATTATCAGTACATTTAAAATATTTTTTTTTTTCCAGTTTTGAGAGTATTTACTGTGTACTTGGATACTCATAACCCAAAGTAGCTGCATTTAGTTTGCACTAAATTGAAGTCCTGTTGGTCATCTGCTCATTTTAGATGAGATGGAGAGGTTTTCCAGCCATGCGGGAGTTTGCAAAATGTATTTTTTTTTTTTTTTTTTTGGTGTTTTTGTTTTGGGGAGGTCATTGAATACATGCATCGCTTTGCAAGAACGGAAGATTTATTTTCTGGTAATACTTGACATGTTGAGCACTTTAAAAAAGGGACTTGGTGGCCTTTTTGGGGTGTATGTGTGTTAATCTGTGAGTTTGTCTGTGAAATATACTGTGAGTGGTGATCACTTGAACACTGACTCTTGCCGAGAAGGCGTTTAGGCCAAAATTGCTTCCTCTTGTGCCTGAAATAAAAATGTGCAGTTAATGTCTGTGATGGTGTCGTTTGTGCATTAACCCTTTCATGCATGGTGTCCACTGGAGTGGACGGATGTTTGGAACCATTTAGGTTGTAGTACCATGTCCCAACCACCAAGTGGTGAACCCCCAGAGCACGGTCTACAATTCCATTCAATTATTGTCTTTGTATCTATTTTTTGTTTTGCGATAGCATATCATAAATTCAAAAAGGCAGAGGGAAGAGGAGATGCACCAATTACCTCAGGAATAAGTGTGAAATCCTTTTATTCTCAGAAAACCTCAGGTACAAAAATATTTTTCAACTAAATGGGATGTTAGAGATACTTCTATCCAGATTTTAACTATAAAAATCTTTTCTCCCTCTCCCCTCTGTGACAAAATATCTGTCCTCTCCAGTGGATGTCATGCACCAAAGGGTGGGTGTGTGGTTGGTCTATCCCCTGATTTGGTATGTTTTTAGTTAAGAGTGATATTTACACTTGAATAGTTTTATTAAACCGAAACATTAAGTAGTCTTCAGATTTTATAGTTTACTTCATTGCTTACAGTCTATAATTAATTATACTTTTTTCAAATGTCCTATTTTTGTTGTTAATGTTCCAAGACTTCTGATGCAAAAGCCTCTAAAAGTTACATTTGTCAAAAATGAGCAAACAATATATACTGAATGCTCTCTGCACATAATATATGTTCATTAAATTTCAAACCAGCTAGATCCCAGCCTCAGCCCATAGTACAGTACTTGTACAGAAACGCATACAAGGCCTATGTGTCTGATAAAAATGTTAATTTTAAAGAAAAACATCAGACAGACTGCTATAGCCTTCTAATGTGTATTCATTCCATTTGCTCGTAGTAAATGTTTTAATTTCTATTGAATGTTCTATTGAATCCCTTTTTATACCGTTGATGCAATCGTGTCCACTACAGTGGACAGATATGTAACTCCCTCAAAATAAAATAAAATTGAAAAAAAAAGTTACTGGCATGAGTTTTCACTTAAAACAAACATTAAAAATGATTGCTTTGTGATTTAATAATTCATGCATGAAAGGGTTAAGTAAAGTGAAAACTGTTTAGGTTAGTATTGAAGTAGAAAGTGTGGGTGGTTCACCTCTCTTTGAACGACAGAATAGTCTGTCACAAGTTTAGGCTTCATTTAATTAAGACTGATTTTCATCACCTGAAATTTCTTCTGTTGTACTCCGTTTGCCAACAGTGACAAAGCTGAAAGGGTTTTCTCAAGCTTTTTATGAGGGAGGGGGAAGTTTTCAGTTAAAATGTGCAAGAAAATGGAAGGAAAGAAGACCACTTGCAATTTGGTGGTGCAATCATTGACATCCCTCCTGCATGAGACCGAGTGAGACTGCTGAGAGGTTTGTCTGCATGTTGGTTCATGGGTCTTTATGGGTGTTTCCTGAACTATTTTCACACTCTTCAGGTAAGGTGGTAATCTTATTTTTATTTAATGTCAATTTGATATTAGTTGTCAAATATATGAACGACAACAACAAAAAAATCAATTTCCCATCACATTTCAAGTGATTTATTGTGTTTTCTGGTTTTTAAATTTTTTTAGAATAGATCTATCATCCCTAAATACAAAATATTTTCACATTTTGATACAATTGCAATTACATGATACAATTACAGCTTTAGTGGAAATACAGTAAAACTGATTTATTATGCTTTATTTGCATTTAAACGTGTAACTCATGTTTTTATGCAAGACTTTGTTTAAAATGTATTGTCTGCGACATACAAGTTAAAGAAACACCCTTGATTTAAGGGATGGTCCCTGGCCCATTAAAGTGTAATGATATTTGTCACCTTAACACGTAAAAAGTTTTAAAATTCCTGTTATTTTCCATTTAATCGAGAGGACATTGCATTGTCTCGTTGAACATGTTGTTTTAAAGTGTTTTGAAATGAACACATCACAAGAGGCCACTGTTGTCCTACTCATTGATCACTTCAGGCTACTGAGCGTAATGGAAAAACAGATAGGGCTTCTATAGTGAGGGCTTCTACTCCGATCACTTAAGCTGATATAATAAGTCCTGCCAGTGGCTATGAATGTCACAATGCACAAATGTTTATTTTCCACTGCTCATCTCTAACAGCCGAGTGTGTTTGTTCATTTTGCTTTCTGTGAATGCCTTTCTAATGCAAGAGTGTTCAAGGTTACGTATGGTCTGCTAGTCCTAATAACTTTTAAAGGAACAGTTCAACCATAAACGAAAATTCTGTCATTTACTCACCCTAAAGTTGTGTGTTTCTTTTTACTGTTGAACACAAAAGATGATGTTTTGAAGAATGTTAAAGGTAGGCATCAACTTGAATAGTACTATGGAATAAAATGAAATGGAAGTCAACTGTTTGGTTACCAAAATTCTTCAAAATCTCTTTGTGTGTGTGTGTGTTTGTTCTACAGAAGAAAGAAACTCAGCCAGGTTTGGAACCGGCGTAGAGTGAGCAAATGATGACAATTTGAGATTGTATTCTTTAAGATTACTATTCATCATGATATTGTTACTTGTGTCAAGCTGACTATCTCTTTACTAAGCCCACAGTCTTGCCAAAACTGTGGCAATGTTTTGCATATGTTTCCTATCATAACAACTTTTTGTGGCTTGCTTCTGTGTAATAAGGGATATTTTAGAATTATTTTCCATGAAAAGCACTTGTCAATTGATAAGTTTGTGTTGTGGGTTGAACTGCTGACAGACTTGTTGTATGACAAGTATTGTTGTAATATTTAGAGATGTTATATTGCTGTATAAATGCTCACTGTGGCTGATGAATTAAGATTACTTGGATCTCCTATTGTCAGCATTTAGAAAAAGTTCATGTTGGCTTTTATCATTGTACTGTTTTGTATTTTACTTCTCTTTTCTCATTACTTTCAGCACTGACTTTCTCAAAAAAAAAAATTCCTTAGCAGGGAAAGGCTGTGTGCAAAAATAGTTCAGCATAACATGGCAGGAAATCCCCTCTTAGAGGTCCAGTCCAACACATTTACAGGGTGTCTTGCATTGTTGAAATCTGCAGTGCATGATGGGATGGGATCATTTTCCACCCAGGAAATAAACTGTCTGTAAGCGGCAATAGGGTTGCGATTAAGATTTGCATCCGATTCTGCCAGTCGCTGTTGTTTTAATCTCGCTGATAACCATCTTCTCATAACAACTAGTAAATTGAAAACAACTGGATAGCTAGTTTACAGGGATCTGCAGAAATGTATTACAGAGGCTCATGCAGAATATAAGAGGCCCACACACCCAACAGAGTGAATGTTTTCTCATGCCCGTGACAGAATTCAGAGGTTTCGCACAAAAGAACGGCTGTGTGACTTGTGCTTGCATCTCTATGTGGAGGTCCAGGTGTATGATTTTAACCTGAAGCTGCACCCCATAATTTCTTCCCCCTCCATGCGATCTTGCTCCTTCATGTTGAACATATATTTTTCCTAAACGTCCTCCTAACTCCCCCACTCAATATCAACATGCCAGTGGCCCTGCAGTTAGTTTAGTCATGTGCTATGTTTGGAATAGCATACTATTCTGGCAATATATTCACTCTTAAGAAAAATGGTTCTAAACCGTACCAGAAAAGGGTTCTTCGGCTTGTAACAATAGCAGAACCTTTTTTTTGTGCTAAATAGAACCTTTTTTTTATAGGGTTCCATATAGAACCATGCTTTGAAAATGCCATATAGGACCTTAATGGTGTTATAAATAACCTTTTTAATGATTTTTTCCCCCATTAATATTAATATGTTAATATCATTAATATTAGTATTAATGATAATTAAATAATATATTATTATTTGTATATATTTATTAATTTTTTTTATTTATTTTTTTACCCCTGTATTTGCCTGGTCTTATAATATCTTGAATTGTCTATTAGGGTTTTACATAAAATCAACAACAACTACTACAACAACAATGTGTCAATTAGGTACTTATTTATTTTTTTTAATGACGTGAAATTGTAGCAAAAATGACCGTGTTCTAACAACAGTTATTAGCAGAATACATTAATGAATGACAATGGACATTGAACATAAATAAATCCTTAAAGAAGTAAAACAAAATGGAACATAAAAGTGTATTGAAGACCAAGCGCCAGTGAAATATCTTCACAATCCTCTATGATGCCTCTAAGTTAATCATTATCTGTATTTTGGTGTGACTGAGTGGCAGTTTCTCTCTGCATATGATGAGGTTGTAGGATGTGACAGCATCTGAAATGCACAATTGAGTTTAGATATACAATGTGTCTCCTTTCATTTGTTTATGTGAAAACCGTTGTTTATGAAGGCCAAAAGTAGTATGTGAGCACTTCACAATGTTAAAAGAAAAAAGTAATATAAAGGGGATAGCTGGGTATGTTTATGCATAAACCCTAGTAATAAAAAAAATCTAACAAAATGGACCATAAATTCAATATCTTTGTTACTTGGTGAAGAAGAGGAGAGTATCCTTAACTGAATAGAGCTGGCCACACTTGCATGTTTTCTTAAACTAAAAAGAGAAAAGACCTAGGAAACCAATTAGCATTTAAAAGTTATAATTTATAGACATTTTAAGAAAGAAGTTATTTACCTGTTGAGAGTGTGTTGATAGTCTGACAGTTTGATGGCTGAGGTCCAGAAAATCAGTAATGAGGCATCTTAGAGTGTAGCCTCGGTTAGGGTTTTACATTAAAGCAACAATAACAACAACAGCAGCATGTTGTGTACATTGTTTTTATTGACATGCACAAAAAGTGCTCTTAACAACAGTTATTAGCTGAATACATTAATGAATGACAATTGACATTGAACATGAATAAATAAATAAAACCCAAAATAAGAACAAAAAATTGATGTGATGAAGACCAAGTTTCAGTGAAACAATCGCAATCCAATTAATATAATGCCTTTTAAGTCCGTCATTTTGGTATGATTAAGTGGCGATTTTTCTCTGCAGATGATGAGGTTGTAGGATGTGATGCATCTGA